TCTTCCTCTATAAAATTGGGAAACTCGCAGATCCATGGATTTATTCCATTTCCAGAGCAAATCTCAGAACCTTCTTTCTTCAAACTGCTTCTTCTTATTCATAATACACACCTTTCTTCGCGTGGCGCGTTTGTCACTCTTGGGCCGACGGTGAGGTACAAAACACCGCCGAAATATCTTCAGAGCCGGTTCCCACAGACTTTCCTTAAGCTGAGGGTGAGGCCGAGGAAATTGCCGGGGTGCCCTCGACGTCCATACCCGCGGATCACCCTCCTTCTACTTGCACATCGGACTCTCTGGAGAGAGTTCTTTCGGTCAACCTCCCTTACTCCTCCCGGCTCAATGCCATTTTCCCCGGTGAATGGGACCAGGCAGACCGGCCTCCACGGCGCTGCATCGCGATTCATGGCGACTATTTCTTCTACGGCTTCCAAGACAGCCTCCCTCAGATGGTGGTCGATTTCTGCCGATTCACCGGCATCTGCCCCAGTCAGCTCCATCCTTCCGCCTGGGGGCTCCTCTGCGCTTTCCAAGTCCTTTCTGACTTGTCTGGGGTCCAGGTCTGTGGCTCCATCATGCTGCTATCTTACCAGCTCCGGAGCCTGACCGCCGATGCCCTTCGCTATACATTGCATACCCGGGACGAGTGCACTGCCCCCATCCTGGGTGACCACTCCGAGAGCCGCGACTGGAGAGAGCGGTACATCTTCTGGACGGTGCTGCCGGAAGTCAACGTCCAGCTTACCTGGATGTCAAGGGGTAAGATTCTTCTATTACCACTACCCTTCTTTACTTCGAGTTTAATCCGTCGGCCATCTTCTTACTGCCGCCTCGTCTTCTCTTTTTCAGGCTCCAGGGCACCGTCCGCTTCTGAGCGGGTCGACCTACACCGCTTTCTCGGGATCCCCGAACGGTTCCGGTCATTCGACTTCCTGCTCTTTCCGACGAGCATTGGGGCGAGCTCGCTCGTCCTCTCGTCCGGCATGACCCCGAACGCCCCAAGTACTGACTTTGACTCTTTCGTCCTTGGCCTTGTGCTGGTCCCTTGGTCTTCACCTGTGAATCCTATCTTTGCAGGTTCCCAGAGTCGGATCAAGGAGATCTGGGAAGATTATGCCCTGACGTCCGTCTGCCCCCAGCGAGGTTACTGCAGTCCAAACACCACGCCGGAGACCTCGTGCGGACTCTCCCGAGGGGGAAGCCTCGTCCCAACCAACATGCTTAACCGAATCTCCTGTGGTGAGGTCGACATGGTCCTGGGGACCCTCTTCGGCCCTTCCCGTTCACTACTCCTCCGAGTCAGCTTCAACTGCTAGTGGTGGGGCACCCATAGATTCCGACACTATGGAATACCTAGGGACCGTCGAGAGGTCCAGGGCCGCACGAGCCGCTACTCTGGTCCCTGATGCCCCGGTCTCGCCGAAGGCGATGAGCGTTTCTTCAGAGTCGGAGCCGATGGTTGTGCCTCCTCGTCCGACCGCCCGCTCGACCCGTGAGCTCACCGGCTGGCGGCTGACAGCCTCAGAGCTCACCCAGTGGTAAGCTAACTTCTCGGGACGTCTTCCTTTGCTTTTCCGGTTCTTTACCTGTTTCTTACTGATGCTTTTTATCTTTCGACAGAGTCAGCGCTCGCTCGAGAAACTGGAGCACGAGCTTCACACGGCTGAACATCGCGAGCGCGGCCTTGCTGATAGGACTAGCGAGCTTCAGGCCGAGCTCTTGGTGACCCGGGACCAGCTCGCCGTGGCCCAGAATTCTGTCTGTGGAGAGGATCTTAGCACGGAGATGGAGCACCTGTCCTTGGCGCTTGTCGACAGCCAACGGGATCTTGAGGCACGTTCTGATGGCTTTCTCGATGAGCCAGACAACAATTTGCATGCTGAGGCGGGAACTCAAAGAAGAGCGGAGGCGCGGCAGATCGCGAGGGTCGTGCATTTTAGGGGCGGACGGAGGCGCGAGGGGTGCGGGCCCTTTTTCGCCGGCGGAACCTTCGCGCCTGCCGGGTTTTTAATTTATTTCTCTTTCGGAGACTCAATCCGCTTGTAACTTTTACTTTCGAACTCGAACCGGCGGTCGCTTTGGCCTGCCTTTTTTAAGTAACGATGCTTTATCTTATTTTGCCTAGCTTTGTCTTTTGCATTTTTTGCGCCTTATCTCGTGTCGCGGATATGGAGTCTTGGTTTTTGGGGCCAATACGCACAATAGTCTCGAGATCCCGAGATGGTTGAGTAGAACCGTAGCCTGCTCAATTCGCGCGCTCTGCGCAGCTATCTTCGAACGCTTTGCTTCCTTCGTGGAACGTCCGCCGGTGATCTCCCCTCCTTCTAGCGCCACCTGTTCGGGAGCAAATTTTGGGATGCCACGTAGGGGTTATGATTTTTCGGGGGCGGAGCCGGGTCTCCGAGTTCCGTCATCTCGAGGAAAAGCGGTGAATCGTCGTTCCGAGGCGGAAGCTCCCTGTCGCGAGGCGGCGGGGCATGCGCCATACTCGATAGTTTAGTAGTTTCTGTTTTCATCTTTTGTCTTTATCTATATTTATATTATCTGCGTTTCAATTGCAAATTTAATATCTCAAAATCAAAGTATTGTATTGGGGATTAAACTGTGCAGAGGTTCATATAAGCATAATTTGCTGGCTTTTACCATGATATAATATCAAAAATTAATGAATCAAAAGTTTTCAATATGTGGATTATTATTAGAATCTTGTCTTCATAATTTTATAAAATCAAAAAATTCTTATAAGTTTAAAATAAAATTAATAGCAAGAACACATTTTTAATTATATTTATCTTATTTTCTCCTTTTGTTTTAAATGTATATAAATTTTTTAAATATATTTTATTATAAAGATTTCTTATAAGAGATATAAAAGATCTATTATTTTTATTATAAAAATGTATATAATTTTTTAAAAATTAACAGAATATTTTCTCTATACGCTTAGACTTTATTATTTTGTTTTTTAAATACAAGTATGCAATTTACTTCTGTTTGGGAGCAAATTTCGGGATGCCACTTGGGGTCATGATTTGTCGGAGGCGGAGCCGGGTCTCCGAGTTTCGTCCTTTGGAGAGGAAAGACGGTGAATCGTCATTCTGGAGCGGAAGCTCCCTGTTGCGAGGCGGCAAGGCATGCGCCGTACTCGATTCTGCAAGCACTTAAAAAAACGTCAGGCAAGCCTTCGGGGGAGACCGGAAGGGGGTTTTCCTTCCGAAGGTTCTCTGACGCCCAAGTCAGTGAGCGTCCTACCGGGAACAGGTACTCAGGGAGGGGAGTTTTCTACAGGTTAGTCGTAAGGGGACTCGTCCGAAGATCAAGACTCAAGTCTAGTTTAGAGTGTTTCAAGAGGGAATTCTACTCGTGAAAAGGGGAATGCAGCGGATATAAAGGCGAGGTTCCAAGTTAGGGATGACTTAACCTAGTCGGCAGTCACCCGAGAGGGACGTGGAGTCCGCCCGTGATCCTGCTGCATGGCCGGGAATGTTATCTTAAACGTTGGAAAGCAGGCCTCTCTGATTGTCCTCGCCTCTCTCTCTCCCTTCCTTCTTCGTTGAAGGGTTCTTCTTCCATTTATACTCGCCATTCTCTCGTCCTGTCCTTTCCAAGCCGCGTATCCAGGGAGTAGATGAGAGTAATCATTATGGCATGTTAGAGGAAGCCCGCCAACTGCCTCAGTACAGTACACAGAAGTGGTTGACCGAACTAGTATGGTGTGTGTCAGCATTCAATATAGCTTAGGCCTACGTGACGAGTTTTTCTTCGACCCGATAAAATAGATTCCAACACCTATTATATATCTAAAGAGAATTATCAGAAGTGGATATTGTTGCGAAGAAAACAAGAATATGGATGTAAGAAAAGAACAAAAGAAGTGGATCTGGTTAGAGTGGTTAGGTGGTCTGCATCTTTTACGGAGAGGGGGAAAATTGTTTATATTACAATATTTCATTTGTGGACCATCCCCACCCTTAAAGTGCATGTGAAGTGACCACTTTTCTGCATTCTGATCCAACTAATAATACTTATTCATAATTTACGATGATATGTATATAAATAAAAATAGTCATTATATGTAGAGAAAATTGGTGACTTAGGTATTTGAAACCATATTTTGCTGTTTGTTATAAATATCGAATCATATATATAGCATTTTTATGTTTTTCTCTTCACTTATTAACGAAGTTTTTTTTTTCAATATTTTGTTATTTATACATTACAAAATATATACTAACACGATGTACAATATGAATTTGATACAACACACACAGAGACAGAATATTAGTTTTAAGAAAAAAAAATATTTGTTCTAAACAGCATTGGGTTCTAAAAACTGTTTAAAAATATTTTGTTAGTTTATTAGCTATTTATTTACTGAAATTTTATTTGTTACTTCAGAATTTTAAAACGATTCATTAAATATATAAACAAATGTTAGCTAAAAGAACCTATATATTTTTTTCAGCTAAAAGATTTATATTTTATTTTGTTTTCATATATAACCAACAATTTTGTATATTTTTAAAAATCTCATATACTTTATACAAAAGTTTAAATATGTTTTGATATTGTTTTTTTTTAAAGGGTCTTCATTATATGTTTGGAAAATTGTTTAGGAATTTTCAAATACTATTGAAGATGATGATGGTGATTGTGATTGTAATTGTAGCCCATCCACGATGGGTAAGCAGTAAACTGATGAAGGCTTTTCCTAAAATTCCTTATCACTTCGATACATTTGTATGTGCTTCGTAATTTTATAAATGGTATAAAAAAATTTAAAAACGTCTACTTATATGAAGTATAGTCTTTTTCGAAGAAAATCTGGGTATATGGAAATAAAAGAATACGTGGTAATTAATTTTCCAGCTTCGATTTTTCTGTAAACAATGCATGCATGAGGTTAAGACGTTAAATTGAGAGTTTCCAAATCCAACACTTCAACATGATCACGAATTTGTTACTCAACCTCCTTCTAGAACAAGTGGCGGCCACAACGAAGAAAATGAAAGTAAGGACAAAAATGTAATAAGTACTAATAATGGGGTCCAAAATAATATCCGAGAATTTAAATACCATAAATACAACCCTCCCTCTTCCCTCACAGCCTTCTTCACCTACTCCAGTCACCAGCCCATCTCCCTCCTTCGACGATCTGCGTCTCTTGCCGGATAAACTTCTCTCGCAGCAGATCTCATCGATTGAAGCCGTCTCTCTAAGAAATCATGGCATTCGAGAAGATCAAGGTGGCAAATCCCATCGTCGAGATGGATGGTGAGATCTCCTTCTCTCTCTCTCTCTTTCTCACACTCAGTCTTCCTCTGTCTCGATTTTTTGATTCAGATCTTTTTCGTTGATTCGATACGGAAATGAAACGTATTACCTTCGCTTGCCTAGTTTTTATCGAAGTTTCGTTGTTTCGTCTCTCTGATCTGATTTGATTGAATATATAAGTATGTTGTAAACGAGTCTTACTTCATGCTCGATTTTGTATTGGTGTGATCTTTGCTGGATATTTTTGTTCTGAACGTGTATTACGTATATATCAATAAAAAACGTAGCTCTGTTAATCGATTTGATTGATTGAGTTTTATGATCTAATGAAAAATCTGGTCTCGTTTCAGTGCGACTATCTGATTTACAGTTTTTAATCGGCGAAATAATTTCAATATTTGATCACGAAAATGAGACAATTGTTCTTAGTCAGAATTCTAGATCAAAGAAATGCTGCGTTTTCAGCTTCTAGTTATGATTTTCTGATCTCCCATATTTCGAGTTTTTTGTGCGAATTTCCTAGACCTTAATTTTAAAATATTTTGCTGTTCTTACTCACGTATGCTTCATTGTTCTTGTGTAATAGGTGATGAAATGACCAGAGTTATCTGGAAGTCCATCAAGGATAAGGTACTATAAGCTATTCTGATGTGTATTAAACGTGTGGTTCATGTTTTCATCATTTTAATTAAATTTGGTTTTTCAAATGTTTTCAGCTTATTACCCCTTTCGTAGAGTTGGATATCAAGTACTTCGACCTTGGTCTTCCTCACCGTGATGCTACGGATGACAAAGTTACCGTCGAAAGTGCTGAAGCCACTAAGAAGTATGTGTTTGTCTGATTCTTTGAAGCAAACTTATGTTGCATATTTGTTATATTCTGTGTGGAACACAGTTAATAATCTTCAACGCTTGTGATTTTGTTTTAGGTATAATGTGGCGATCAAGTGTGCCACCATCACTCCAGGTATGTTTTGATTTATATTTTTAGCAATTGAATATATTTACAAGTGTTTATATTTTACCAAGTGCAGATGAAGGCCGTGTCACGGAATTTGGCTTGAAGCAGATGTGGAGAAGTCCAAATGGGACCATCAGGAACATTTTGAATGGTAAAAATATACAGAACTGTATGTTATAAAGCCTATCAAAATATCATTCTCTGTTGATTTACTTACATTGTGCTTGTCTTTCTCACAGGAACTGTATTTAGAGAACCAATTATCTGCAAAAATGTTCCCAAGCTTGTACCAGGTAAATTATCGACAATGGGCTAGTTGCTGTTAACAATTTATTTATTGCGAAAGGGTTCTGAGTGAATATGTCTTGTTTTATTTAGGCTGGACAATGCCTATCTGTATTGGAAGGCATGCTTTTGGTGATCAGTACCGTGCTACTGATGCTGTGATTAAGGGACCAGGAAAACTAACTTTGGTTTTTGGTAAACTTATTACCTTTCAGTGGTCATAATTTTGTAATCTCATTCCGTTTCTTCTTTCGTTTTTGTCAAGTACTAATGAATTCTGTAAATGTCACTGATTTTCAGAGGGAAAAGATGGGAAAACTGAAACTGAAGTCTTTACATTTACCGGTGAAGGCGGTGTTGCTATGGCCATGTACAACACTGATGAGGTATAGTTATACTTACGCTTTCTTCCAATGACACTCAATATTACTTGTTCTTTTGGAAACAGGCCTCAAGGTTAAGTTATAATTTTTTCTTGTAATTCAGTCCATCCGTGCTTTTGCTGAGGCATCGATGAACACTGCTTACGAGAAAAAGTGGCCACTTTATCTCAGCACAAAGAACACCATTCTCAAGAAATACGACGGCAGGTAGATTACAATTTTTTTGCTTATAACTGAGGAGAGAGTTTCTCTGCCCATATTTGATTTTTTTATTGCATTTTTGTTTTACTATGAAGATTCAAAGACATCTTCCAAGAAGTCTATGAAGCTAGCTGGAAGTCAAAGTATGAAGCTGCTGGAATCTGGTGAGTCACCACTTAGTCTCTTTTTTGCCTTATGTTACCTTTCACTCGAGAAGAACCTAAACGATTAAAATTGGTTTAGGTATGAGCACCGTCTCATTGATGATATGGTTGCATACGCTCTCAAGAGCGAGGGAGGCTATGTGTGGGCTTGCAAAAACTATGATGGTGATGTCCAAAGTGATTTCTTGGCACAAGGTTCGTGTGATCATCAATGATTGTAAATGAATATGCCCATTTCTTGTTAGCTAAATAGTTTCTTGTAATCTTTGTAGGATTCGGGTCACTTGGATTGATGACATCTGTTTTGGTATGCATCGTTACACAATCTCATATAACATGTTCTCTTAATTGATTCTAAGTTTTCTGCTTTTGACAACGTTTTGTGTTATCTTGATTTAGGTTTGTCCCGATGGGAAGACGATTGAAGCCGAAGCAGCACATGGAACTGTCACGCGTCACTACAGGGTTCACCAGAAAGGTGGAGAGACGAGCACAAACAGCATAGCTTCCATCTTCGCTTGGACTCGTGGACTTGCACACAGGTAAACAAAAAACGAGATTATCTTTAATATTTTTCTTTTCCAAGAAGGATAAACGAATGCAATCTCTTCTTCGAACAGGGCTAAGTTAGATGACAACGCGAAGCTCTTGGATTTCACCGAGAAGCTCGAAGAGGCCTGTGTTGGTACAGTTGAGTCCGGGAAGATGACTAAAGATCTTGCACTTATCATTCATGGCTCAAAGTAAATTCAACGATCTCTTCCTCTTCTTCTTCTTCTTCTTCTTCCGCTTTTTGTTATATGTTCTCATTTGATTTATATTGTTTTTGTTCTTACAGGCTCTCGAGAGACACTTACCTGAACACGGAGGAGTTCATCGACGCGGTTGCGGATGAGCTCAAAGCAAGACTCGGCGTTAAAGCTTGAGACCAAGTGTCTATCTTGGTGGGGTTTGTGAGAGAACTGGTTTGGTATTGGAAGGAATAAAAAGAGAGAACTTTTGGTTAAGGTGGGAATATTGAGAACCGATTTGTTCCCTCTCCTTTAGTATTTTGCAAACATTTGTGACATTTTTTCGTCTTTTGTTTTTATGCAGATCATGAATTTTATTGTGCATTCCTTTTTCATCGGTTCGAGTTTATGGTGATTATCTTAAAATTATTGTATGGTTTGAACTTCACGTAAACACAAGGATGGAGATGACAAAATTCTGACATGAAAACGATATGAACATCTTTTAGGTTAAATGTTGTTAATTCAAATATTTATATTTCCATTAGAACGGTGTAAATTACACATAACATAATGTTCTTTATTTAGTTACATTTATAAATTCTAAACAATCAAAAGAGGATCATTTTTAAAATATGTCCAAATTTTACTGTGGTATTGACGAGCCATGCCATTAAATTTGCTAGAAAATTTCATGATTTCATTAAGGATATTTTTGTTATTACAATTTATAAGACTGATATATTACTTGGTTTTATTGCTGAAAAAAAGATTAATTAGATTTATCAGAAACCGAAAAGGTTGTAGTTTCATCTTCGTAATTGAATGAAAGATAATTATCATAGATGGTATTTTCAATAGCCACAAACTTGAGATTCTTCTGGGTCCTCTGTATTGCTTCCTTCAACTTATGTGTAAACAAGAATCAGAAACGAGACTAAACTTAATTGAATGAGTGTCGATTTAAATCCCTAAATTGTTAAAAAGGGGGAAAAAGACCTAAAGGAGATCCTGTGTATCGGTTTCTGGGATCGTCAACGGAAATGAGAAGGAAGATGAGGTCGGATTTGTCGATATACATCATGGGTTCGTGGAAGGGCAAGACCTGATTTTGCTACACAGATGAGAAAGAGATCGGAATTAGCATAAAACAACAACGATGTAAAATTGAGTGTAAGAGAAGAGGAACAAACCCATTGAGAAGACTGGTCTGAGCGAACTTGGATTGGGTAGAAGGAGTAGTGAGAGGTTGAAAAGAGGAGAAAGAAGGTATGGCTAAGGCTAGGGAAGTGGAGGAACTGAGAGAGAGAGAGAGAGAGCAAGGGCAAAAGAGATTAGCTTTGGTAAGATGGAGACTGGAGTCGTAGAAGAAGAAGGAGAGAGTGGTTGTGTTGTTTGGTTTTTCATTGAACACACAGACAAGAGCTTGTGCTGCCTCTCGGCCATGGTGGGGGGATGAGTTGCAAACTGCCGACCAAACTCATGTTGTAGTTTATGGTTCTTCTCTTGGCCGTGGCGGAGCTGTGTAGCTTCGATCTCAAAATCTGATTCTCATCTTTGATCTCTCCAAGTTGTATTGAAATTGCAGAACGATTATGGTTTTAGGGATTTTGCTTTGATTCGATTAATAGATACTTTATCCGATTTATTGGCTGTGATTTCCTTTTCTCACTTTTCAAAACTTTTCAATAGATTGGCTGATTTGTGATTAAGTTTCTCAATTTCTGACTTTTTTGTTTGTTGTGATTGCCCGGAGCTTTGAAACGATGTTCTATTTATTTTCTATTGAACTTACATAGTTGGAGATTATAACTTTTTATTAGTAGCAAAACAATGTGGTTCAGTTTGGTAATTTCTCAGTTTTTGGTTTGTGTTTTAGTTGGCATTGTAATTCATTTCATTGTCAGTAATCTACTCCGATTAGTAACACATTTTTTATATCGTGGAATGGCGAAAAAAATGAATTGCAGAATAATTTATTACAGAATTGCGAAACTTTTACGATTGGATAAATTATGGCGGAATTGCAGAATATATTTATTGAAAATATTCTGCTTTTTACTATATATCATAAAAAATAAAATATTAATAATTCAATCAATTATTATAAAATGATATAATTCTAATTGTAACTTTTTAATAATTTGTTTTTCATAAAAAAAAATATTGTAAACCTTAAATAACAGATATAACTTTATCATTAAATAATTTTTTGTAACACTAAATTCTTTATTTGTATTTATTTAAATAATAAAATATAATTGAATAATATAAACATTGATTCTGCAAATAATCTACTCCAAACACGTTTTTCCGCTTAATGAAGATTTTTTTGTATTTTCTGTAAGCAAAAACGCAATTCCGCAGATTTTGCGTTTTTGCATTTTTCCGCAGATTTTTTTGATTGGCAAAATTCTTGCGTTTTTGGGCTTTTCCACCATTCCACCATTCCACAAGTGTTACCAATCAGAGCCTAAGTATATAACATTTTTGTTAGACTACGATGGATCCACCACGGAATATTTAAGTCTTAGTCTCTGACATTTGTGAAGTGTGAACTTAAATATAAGAGGTTATAGAATTTTGTAAATGATTATTAAGAACATTATTCGTTTTGACTCTATATTAAAATTTTAGATGCAAAATTTTTCAAATAATTAAAAAGAGTATATTTTTAGAATTTTATTTTTATCTATATAAAAAAGCATGTTCTAAAACATGATTTTAGATTTTAACAAATTTTATAGGTTTGGCGGAAAAACATGATTTTGAAAAATTGCCTATAAAAACAAAATATTTATAGTATTAATAGGAAATATGATTTTTCGTTTTTACGAGTTTTACAAATATCACGGGTTTACATGTTTTGGCAAGAAAAATACAGTTTTACGAATTTTATGGGAGATTTTGCAGTTTTGATAGAAAACATAATTTTGCGGGTTTTACAGCTTTTGACAGATTTTATGGATATTAGCGGAAAAATATAGTTTTACGAGAAAAATACGCGTTTGCAGATTTGTTAGAAATGTGATTTTGTAAGTTTGGTAAAATCACATAATTTTTATAAATTTGGCAGTAAATCACTTATGTTTAAAAGATTGCACCAGTAAAAGAAGTATATGATTACCAATTCAATTACTAGACTTTTCAAAATAATAAATAATTAATCTTACAGAGATTAAATATAAAAACATGATAAATTTAATTTAATTTTTAAAAATTACAAATCAGAATTTAACTAATATTTGCACAATATCATGAATATAAAGGATATACCCAACTAATTTAAAGAAAGAAAAAACCCAATTAAATCGTAATCCTATATAAACATTTTTAAAAAGTTTTTACTATTAAACCATTATTCATTTTCATACTCTGATATTCAATAAATATATTTTTTATACAAAAACATTATCATGATTAGGTTAGTTTTTTTTTGTAGTACAATAAGCAGATTAGAAACTGTAAATTTAAAATTTTCAACACATTTTAAAAATATTATTTTTTCTATACAAAAATATAAAATATATAAGCGATAACAAATAACAAATGCTTGATATCTTAATAGTGGGTTAAAAATTTAATAGATTATATAATCCATATGTACCAAAAATTTAGTAAATTGCTTCATGTTTTCTTGGCGGAATTAAGTTAATATTTGACATAATATCAGAAATTTAAGGAATATAGGCAATTAATCTGTTAACAAATTTTGGTAATCATAACCTATTGTAAATATGCTTTAATTTTTTGTACTGTCCACCTATTATTTATATTTCTATATTTTAATCGCCTAACCTTCATAAATATATTTGGATATACAAAAACAAAATTGCCACATTTAGATAGAATCTTTTTTTTTTGGGTTTGCATAGGGGTTATAATATAAACTTAAAAATTACCACCATATTTTAAACGTTACACAAATATTTTTTATATAAAATATATAACATAAAAATAATAAAAAATGAAAAAATCGTTTCCTACCTTTATAGCAGGTTAAAAGTTTATTAAACGGATGTAAATAATATATTTATATCAGAAATAAAATTAGATACTTCTCATGACTTTCAGCTATAAAATATTTTGTCTAAAAGAAAACTAAAAAGTAGATTTTTTTTTAAAATAGTATATTAATTAAGATGAAATATAAAAAAAAACCGTCGTCTATTTTTAAGATAGATTAAAATCACAACTTTAAATTTTATATAAAAAAAATATAACCCATGAGAAGTGAGACAAAAATCACAACTTTAAATTCATTTAAAAGAGAATCATTCTTAATAAATGTTCAAAAGCTATCATGGTATTTACAATATGTGCCATTGCATTTACTAGAAAATGTTATAATTTTATTAAGGTATTTTGTCTTATCATTTTTGCTATAATATGAAAGACCATTGTAACTCTAATGAACTATCACACATATGATTGATTGATTTAATTTATTAACAAAAAAAATAGTACACTAAATTCAGATAAAAATATTTTTTCAAAATTTGAGATTTAAGTATTTTTTGCAAAATTATTATTAGAAATTTTAAGACCATTAGTAAAAGTTTTGAGACATTTGAAATTTTTTTAAAAGTGAGATTTTTTATTTTAACTTACCAAAATAATTTTTTTTAAATGCATGAAATTTTTAATGACGAAAACATTTCAGATAAATATATTTTAAAGAATTAAGAGATTTATATAAATTTTTCAAAATTATTGTTATAAATCTTAAGAGCATTAGTAAAAATTTCAGGACATGAAAAAACACATAAAATTTATGAATTTATGAATGTAGATCTGCTTCAGTTCTTTTCGAAGGTTGTATTGTTAATTGGAATTTAGATTAACAACTTTGATTTAAACGATACTAACATAACTGAGAAAAAACAAGAGTTTAGAGTTAATTCTAGGAAATAACTCGTGAATCATGAAAAGAAAGAGGATGTGATCAGGTTTTACGGATCACATTTACGGGTCAGATTTTTTTTGGATCTGATGGGAATTGGTTTTTCTTTTGATTTTTACGGGTTTAGTCTCTTATTTTGATTCATAAAGATAAACCATAAAATTTAATTTTACATTAGAAATATATAGACAGCTATTAATTTTACATTAGAAATATATAAATATAGAAATTTTTTTATAGATGATAAGCAATTCAAAACTATCAAATGATTTTTTATTAACGTTTTTTACGAGTTAATATGTTAGAAATCAAGCTATAAACAATAAATATCAACAATTAAAATAGAAAGACAATATGCATGAAAAACTAAAATAAATGATTAATAAACAATGTATTATCACATATGAGTTACAATCTATGCTAATCTATATACAAAAAATATTAAATTCTTTTGGTCCTCATAAATAAAATGACTTGAAAACAAAATAAACATCTAAACTATTAGATATAGATTAAAATTTAAATATAAAATTTAGAAAAAACAAAAATATATCTTACACAAATTGAATGAGTTGTTGTTGTTGTTGAAAAAAAATATTATTTTCGAATGGAGCAATTAAAAAAAAAAACCTGTGCAAAGCGCGAATCTAAAATCTAGACAAAATTTTGTTGATTGACTCGAATTGTTAGGGATTGGTAGGGATTTCTTTGAATGGAAATTTTCTCAATTTCAGACAAAAAATGGATTCATTTTGTTGTCTAAAGAAAAAATAGACACACTCTAAGCTAAATCAAATCAGTTTCTATTTATGCCATTATTTTGGATTTGATAACATAAGCCAACTTTTGCGGTAGTCCAAAAGTATTTTGTGAAATAAAATTCGCGCAAGGTGCACGGATCCAAAATCTAGTCCATACTATTAAAAGAGGAACACTTCAATATTTAAACACATTTTATTTGTTATATTACACGAAATGCCATTGCATTTTAATCTTTTCCTTAGAATTTCATTAATGGTAGTTTAGTCATTTGTTAATACAACTAATTAATATTCATTTTATTTTTCCTTTATTTAATTCTTATATTCTTATTACCAAACACATTAATTTTCAAATATTATTTCGATTAGTTTAAATTTAATTACCAAACACATTTAAATAATTTAAATATTTCCATAAATAGTTATTTCAAAAATTCTAAATAATCTTAGAATTAATTACATCCAAGTTTATATAAACGAAAGTATAATAATAATTACTATATGTATAATATTAAATTATAAACATTTATACAATTTAAAACATTTTGCAAAAAAATAACAAATATTTTTTTTAAAATATTTATTACTATGTAACAATATAAGAAAATAAAAATTATAATTAATATAATTAAATTATATACATTTACACAATATAAAAGAAAAATCGCAAAAAAATATTTGAAAAACAAAAATCATATTCTTATTATTATGCAATAATATAACCAAACACATATGTTTATAGGAAAATAAACTAAAACCTAATTTTCATGGATAATTGTATATTATTTGTTATATGTTTAGTTCAATCTAATATTAAATTAAATTTTGATTAAATTAATTTCAAATTTAAAAGCATCATGATCAAATTTAGAAAAACCATGATTAATTAACAGTAAATGATAAAACCATATAATTTATTTAAATTATATTTAGTTCTATAAAATATCTAATGAATCGATTTTGTAATATTCTATTAATATTCAATTACTAAAATTATGGAGCAAGCTTCCCAAATAAAAATCAAAATATTTTTTAATTAAGAAACAGTAACTGCATAAATTTAAAGCACATTCTAAAAATATGGATTTTAGCATATTTTCAAAAATATTACAAACAATATTGATAAATTTTTTATTGTAGATGTAATAAGATATTAATAATAGAAAAAGTCAGTAAATTAATACTATTTATTTTTCATAATTTACAATTAACAAAATAAAACTATTTATGATAGTAGTATTTCAATAAACTATAAGGGAAATAAAAGCAGTAACTCACATTATCTCATT